CGCATTTAATGTACAACGGTCAAGTTATTTTAAAATTATTTAATGTTTTTAAAGTCGAAATCCCAAAGCCGACTTTACATTTTGTAGCTGGCTATTCAAGAAAATAGAATGTGCAGGAAACTCGCAAAGCCGGCTGTAAGAATCTAAGCCAGCTTTACGAAGAAAACAGAATGTGCAGGAATCTTGTCAATCCGGCTGCAGAATTCTAAGCCAGCTATACAGAGCCAGCTCTAGACTTGAAGCTGGCTGTATTGACAAATCTGCAACTCGAAATTATGTGATTTGCAGAGCATTTAATGACCCCCAACGGCTAGAAACGGCTATTTTCGAGCAAGGGGCTATAAATATTGTTGGTAGCGAATCTGAAACAAGTTTGAAGAGCATTGCATTGAATATCTTTACCTACCTACTTATGCTTTAACTTGAGTTTTTAATCTTTGAGTGATCTTGTAATCTTCTTCTTGTTCTATTGTGTGTTATCTTGGAGGTGTGATTATTCCTTCAAGAGTGATTTGTAGAGAGGATTCTTGGGGTTTATCTTATAAAGGGGTGAGATTTGAGAGAAACACCCTTCTTCTTGTAAAAGAATTGAGTGGCTCCTTTAAGCCACCCTTGTTTTTTTTAGTGGAGACCGTGGAGGAAATCCTTGGTGAGTGAAGCCAAGGTAGAGGATTAGGCTCCAAGTGGTTGGACCAAACCTCTATAAAATCATTGTACAATCTCTTCTTCACTACTCTTTTTTTGATTTTTGTTTGGTGGTTGCAAAGAGGTGAAAATCTTCTAACTCCAATTCACTACCCTTCTTGGAGTGCATTGAGCCAATATGATCAACTAGAAGCTAATGCCATAATATATCGACAAGAATTTGCTGGTTTGCGCAAAGATCCTACTCAATCTATGATGGAGTATCTAGGTCGTGCTAAAGCCTTGTTTGATAGATTGTATGGCATAGGACAACCACCTACTGATAAAGAATTGGTTATTCAAACTTTGGTTGGGTTAGATGAAGCTTAAAGTGTTTCCAAATGCACCATTCCGCAAAGAGTTCGTTTTTCTTCCTTTTTACAACTTCGCTCACTCTTATTGATTGAAGAAGACGGTATTCAACGTGACAGCAATTGTCTTTCAAGTGTAGCTTTGTTCTCCTCACCCTAAGTGCTAGTTGCTTCTAATTATTCCCAGCATGTGGTTGCCTATCGTCCTCAAGGTAGAAATTGTGGTGGTCGGAGTGGTAATATGGGACGAGGTGGTCAATTCAATGGCAATCAGTCTCAATCACAAGCTTATTTTTCTCAAGCACAAAACTTGGCTTTATCAGGTTTCTCTGGCGGTGGTTGTTTCCCTTCTTCTTCTCGCCCTATCATCAATCCTTCATTCTTTGCGCCTCATGGAATGCAATCTCATCGGGCCCTCCTTTGTTGTCTATAACATCTTCTTCAGTAGTCTATCAATGGTATAACAACCCTAATCACGAGGCTAGAGATTGTCCACTTATACCTCATTCGGCTTAAGGCATTTACCCATAGCCAACATCATATCCACAACAATCATTCATGGCTAATAGTGCTCCACCATCTCAATTTGTCTTGATAATGCATCTACCAATGGTTGGGAGTTTGATTATGGTTTTGTAGTCCATGTCTCAAAAAATACGAGTAATTTATCTTCTTCTACTCCTTACACTAGTCCCGAGTCTATCCAAGTTGGGAATTGTCAACTTTTACCTATTTCTCATATTGGTAGTACCTTACTTCGTTCTAATAATTGTTCTTTTCAACTTCGTAATGTCTTAGTTTGTCTACAAATTTCCAAAAATTTAATTTCTATTCATTAATTTACCAAAGATAAAATTTTGACTCTTATGGTTTTTGTATTAAGGATTTACAGATGAAGAATGTCCTCCTTCGTTGCAATAGTACAGTTGGTTTATACTCCTTTTGTGGGCATTCTGTTGTGTCTCCAACGATGTTTCATGTTTCTATTTCTCATCAAATTTGGTATTGTTGCTTGGCTCATCTCGGCTTGTCAACCTTTGCTCATTTAGTTAATTGTAGTTTTATTCCTGCTAGTAAATTAGTTAGTTCTTCTAGTTTATGTCATGCTTGTCAATTGAGGAAATATGTTAGACTCCCTTTTCAAGATTCTTTACATGTTAGTTTTGCACCATTTCAGTTAATTCATTCTAATGTTTGGACCTCTCCAACTCATTGTTTTGGAGGTTTTAAATATTATGTTCTCTTTTTAGATGATTTTTCTATTATGTTTGGGTTTATCCCCTTAAATCTAAGTTTGATGTTTTTTCTTGTTTTCTTCAATTTTTCGCTTTTGTCGTAACACAATTTGGTGCTCAAATTAAGTCTTTATAGTGTGATAATGGGAAAGAATATGATAATATGCAATTTGCACTATACTTTCAAAAATATGGCATTCAATTACAATCTTCTTGTCCCTCGACTCCTCAACAAAATTGGAAAGCCAAGTGCATGAATAGAACTATAGGCAATATGCTTTGTTCTCTTCTTTTTCCAGCAAATTTACCTAGAAAATTTTGGGTAGAAGCATTACATGTTGCTATTCATCTTATCAATATTTTACCTACTTCCAGGTTACATTTTCAAACCCTATTTGAGGTTCTTTATGGCAAAGTTCCCGATTAAGAATTTTTGAGTGTGCTTGTTGCTCAAATTTATTTGCTATAGCCTCACATAAGTTGGCCCTGAGATCAGCTTTTTGTATTTTTTTGGGTTATTCCAACAATCACAAAGGTTATAGGTGTCTGAATCTAGCTACTAATCTGGTGATTATTTCATGGCATGTGATCTTTGATGAGACACAATTTCCATATGTTGATAGAAACAATATTCAAGTGCCTTCGGCCTTTCAATCCTTTGGTTTTTTTGTAGCCTTTTGATCTCATGGACAGCATTCTTTCTACTGTGCAACATTCTCCTTCTGCAGATTTTTCAAAGGTCCCATCTCCTATTATTTCTTCATCATCCGATGGGCCCCCTGCGTCAAGTTCGGTCCATTTTCCCAATACTGTTTCTTCGGAGTCCATATCTATCTCACCGGCCCAAGTCCAAGCATCAATGCAACCCATGGTTCAGTAAGCTTTATCTCCTACTGCTCCATCTTCACCTGGACATGCTGCTCCTCATTTAACTAAACTTGTTACTAGTTAGTGTGTTCCATCTACAATATTAGCTATTGATTCTTCCCAGAGCTCAGCTCCTATACAAACTCATGGCATGACTACTCATTCTTAGGATGGCATTAGAAAGGTATGCCATTTGCTTCTTTACTTTCTCACTCAATTTCTGTTGTTGAACCCAAAACTTTTGCTCAAGTTATCCATTCCCCTGAATGGTGTAAGGCTATAGAAGATGAATATTTTGCCTTGTAAAAAAATAATACTTGGGATTTGGTTCCATGCCCTTCTGGTGTGAATCTTATTGACTCCAAATGGGTCTATCGTATTAAACAAAAATCAGATGGCTCTATAGAAAGATATAAGGCTCATCTAGTGGCTCAAGGGTATACACAACAGCCTAGGATTGACTATGATGATACTTTTAGTCCAGTGGTTAAGCCAATTATTATTCAAATAGTTTTGACTTTAGCTGTTTCTCAATCTTGGCCAATTCATCAATTGGATGTTAAGAATGCTTTTCTCAATGGTAATCTTACATAGCTTGTGTACATGGGACAACCTCCTGGTTTTGTTGATATTTCTCGACTTGATCTTGTTTGTTGATTGAAGAAGGCGCTTTATGGTCTTAAGCAAGCACCACGTGCTTGGTTTCAAATATTTGCCTTCTTTTTACTCTCTTTGGGTTTTGTTCAGGCAAGGACTGATTCCTCTAATTTTGTTTTTCACACTCATGACTTAATGGCCATTTTATTGCTCTATGTTAATGATATTATTCTCACTGCTTCACGCTCATCTTTGTTGTCTTTCATTATTGCCTTGTTAAAGAAAGAATTTCTCATGATAGACTCGGGTGATTTGCATTATTTTCTTAGAGTTACTGTAGAGGTTAATTCCCAAGGATTATTTTTGAATCAGTCTAAATATATTTTTGAGCTTCTTGATCACAGTGGTACGTTAAATTGTAAGGCAGTTGCTACTCCTCTTGATTCTCACAAGAAATTGGCTACTAATGATAGTCCATGATATTCTGATCCTTATGGATATCATAGCTTAGTTGGTGCATTGCAATATGTTACCTTCACTTAACCGAATATCTCCTTTGCAGTTCAACAGGTCTGTCAGTACATGCATGCCCTTACTATTTTTCATTTTCAGGCTGTCAAACGCATACTTCGTTACTTGAAAGGGACTTTGCATCATGGCCTTCAACTTCGGAAAGCCACATCATTGTCTCTTCATTTGTTCACTGATGTTGATTGGGCAAGCTGTTTAGACACACGCAGATCTACTTCTGGTTTTTGTTTATTTTTGGGCAATTCTCTTATTTCTTGGTCTTCCAAGAAACAGTCTACCATTTCCAGATCTAGTGCAGAGGCTGAGTATAGGGCTATTGCCAATGTTGTTGCTGAAGCAATGTGGGTTTGACGGTTACTATTTGAATTACATTACTCAGTTTCTATACCTGCTGTTCTCTACTGTGACAATATCAGTGTTTTATATATGTCAGCCAATCCTGTGCAGCATCACCGTACAAAACACATTAAGATTGATTTACATTTTGTGCGAGAACAGGTTGCCTCTAGTTTCATTACTTTGCGCTATGTTTCATCTTGCAACCAATGGGTAGATATTCTCACTAAGGCACTCTTTGTGCAACACTTTTGTAATCTTCATGACAATTTGTGCATGCTTCCTAAGCCTGCTCAAATTGAGGGGGGATGAAAGATAATAGACAAAGCAATCTGCATTATATTCTATTGTATTATATTCCATTGTATTTGGCCCATGATATAGCTTTGGCCCACTACCTATCTGTATATATAGATAGTATTTCAGCAAATAATACCATGACATATTCAATTCTTTAATAACAATAATAATAGTAGTAGTAAAAAATTGGGGTTTCACTAATCAGAAGTTATCGGCCTTCAGCAAGTGACATAGTAATCTCACATACGGAGCTTGGATTATTGTCATTAGGTTGATCAAATTTTGATGGATTATGGAATGTAAAAGTAGGTTCTTTTGGTTGCAAAAGCTCTGTTTCACTGCTTAGCATGGAAATCACTGCTGCCATGATTGGCCTATTTTCAGCATGGTCCTGAACACAAAGAAGAGCAACCTGTATGCACCTCTTTACTTCAATCGAGGAAAATGAATCAGCCAGTGCTTCATCAATTAAGTCTAGCTCCTTGCCTTTATTCCATAGTCGCCATGCCTGATACATTGTAGTGTGGGTCAGTATTAATTTAGAAGATAAATAATTCAGAGATGCAAATTTGAAAAAAGTACTTACATGGGAAAGAAGGCTTAGATGTTCATCGTTATACAGGAACCTGGTAACCTTCTTGCCACTAACAATCTCTAATACAAGAACTCCGAAGCTAAAGACATCTGATTTCTCAGAAAATATTCCAGCCAATCCATACTCAGGAGACATATAGCCACTGAAATTTATTTGGAAGAAAGAACATGCAAATTAGTATTGATCATGTTTATCAATAGCTGCTGTTCTTGTTAGTACTATCAATAGCTAGTTGAAGTGTTGAACCACCTAATTCCTTTATTCAACTTAATTCCATAACTCTTCACTGGTGTTAGCTAAATCTATTTGTTTAAGGAGAAAATTTAAGGCTTATGGCTTAGCTTATTTGTATTTGTGCACTTTCTGTTTCCAATTTCTAGGGTGATATTTAATTCATGAAGAATAATAGTTGAATATGTTCAAGAAGAAGAATTGTGCTTACAGTGTTCCAACCACCTTGTGAGTATTTGCCAGATGTTGTGTGCCTTCAAAGATCCTTGCCAATCCAAAATCTGAAATTTTTGGGTTCATCTTTTCATCTAAGAGAATGTTGCTGACCTTCAAGTCACGGTGTATAACCCTTAAACAAGAATCACGATGGAGATAAAGAAGCCCACGAGCAATCCCTTGGATGATGTTGAAACGTTCTGCCCAAGATAGTCCAGCTCTTTTTGTTGGACTTGGTTCTAATAAAATGCATCCATTGGAAACATGATTAACACTTACAATCCTCTTTTGATGCAATATATCAAAAGTTATCAGCAAAATTCAGTCTAGCAAGATTACTAATCCTGCAGGCTTAATTCTTGGAACAATATTTAGTGCAGGGAAAAGATCACAACTTTATGGTTAAGAAGATGATATGATGAGATGCAATATGATGCAACTAAGGAAGAAAAGAAAAATTCTTGGGGGAGCCTACCAAACAAAAAATTATCCAAGCTTTTGTTAGCCAGAAATTCATAAATTAGTATTCTTTCTTCTCTTTCAACACAGCAACCAATTAGCCTGACAAGATTTCTGTGTTGTAGGTTGGAAATCAATCTGACTTCGTTCTTGAACTCTTCTATGCCTTGTCCTGAGCTACTAGAGAGTCTCTTGACTGCTATATTTGTTCCATCATGTAGCTTTCCCTAACAAAATCACAAATTCATCAAGCTGTGCTGTCGAGGTACCTTTGTAGAACTATGAAGCACCCTTTCTTTGAAAAAGACATTATTACTCACCTTATAAACCGGTCCATATCCTCCTTGCCCAAGTTTATTAGCCATGCTGAAGTTGTTGGTAGCAACTACCATGCTATCAAAATCAAACAAAGGTAGCTCCTGTGGCTCTCCTTTTTTTACAATGCTTCTCAACATATGTTCCAGCGAAGTGTCCCGAGGACTATCCCTTCTAGCATCCGGATCAAAGTTTTCCAAGGTTCTGTTTTTTTTACCTGATTTTTCAGATTCAAGTAATGAATTCATCTATTCCAAGCCATGAAAGTAAGAGCATATAAGAAAATAACAAAAAGGAAAAACTATTGTATGTAACAATATTGTTCTCCAAGAAGAAAGTGACACAGAGCCTACTCTTTTTAGTATTGAATTCCGTCTTTTGAACCCACAAAGAATTTCAGACAAGTTCCCTCTTGTACTTAGAAATTGAGAAAGGATGGGTATAAATGCATTAATTTCATTTCTCATTCATCATTCAAGTGATTTGACATTTTACCCTCATGGCTTTTAGCTCAGGAGTCATAAATGAGCAATTAGTGGTTCTCGCCCCATACTAAGTTAAGAATCTAGTCATCCAGAAAATTATTTCCGAAATTGATCCGTAGAACAATTATTGTTTCCTACAAATATCCTAGAATTGTTATAGAAAAAGAATCTCCACCAAATTACTAGTTCATTGTGGACCTTGCTTTGGCAGGACCAAAGTGAATGGTATTCTATCCAAAAACTGAGTAAAACTATCCAATTATACAAACCAAGTATCAAGATTCAAGATCAGTTTCTTACCAATTTTTTTTGATCTCTGCCAGCATAAACCATAGACTAAGGCACCCAAGATGATGATACAAGAAACAGTTGTGAGGCTGATAATGAGATCTACTCTTAGCTTCCCATCAGCTGAAATGGGAACAACGAGCAGATAAAATAATGAAATGAATAAAGATGAATCAATCATCTGAAGTAAAGGAAGGAAAAAACTAAAATCCTTTTTGAAAGTATCTCTAAGCCAGTAATAAGTGGTGATTAATTAAAAATAAATACAGAATATAAAATTTTATTAATTAATTATTACATTTTCATTTTATTGAAAAATTAGACTTATTAAATCTAAGGAAAAGTGTGATATTTTAAAAAAATTAATGATAAATAGGATAAGAATTTGGGATCAAAATTTGATAGCAATGATATGCCATAAGATATGTCATTTAAAATATTAAAAAATAAACTATATATTATTTAATAATTAACTCATTTTATTTTTTTAAACTTATGATATTATTTGCATTAACTAATTTAATGATATAATATAAATCATATCATTAATTCCAAATTTTCATTCTCCCTTTTATTACTCTTTTCAAAATGACACCACTGGGTTTAGTTTTAATTAGGTCTAAATCCATTACAAAACTAGAATTATTTAAAAATAGAGGAATTAATAATATGAAAAAGATTAAATACCAATTTCAAT